GCAGCCCGCGCTCCCCGGAGCGCTGGAGACCACCGCGGGGGGCCCCTTCAGCCCTCAGGAGAAACGATCTTGGAGGTATTGATTTCGGTGGTTGGATTTTTTCCCGTGGATCTATCAAATTCTCATTTCGATTTTGGAAGAAAGAAGGAAAACATGACGTCTCCAGCCAAATTCAAAAAGGATAAGGAGATCATAGCAGAGTACGACACTCAGGTCAAAGGTAAGGGCTCTGAAAAATAGGGTAGTGCATATGCTCTGTGGACTGTTGAGGCATGTATTTCCACCCGCTTTGCAGACTGTACGTTTCTTTGGGTGGAGCAGGTGGGGGCATGCTGTGCCCGGAGGTGGTTTCATAGGTGGGTCTGAGCTTCCGACGGATGGGCAGTGCCAGGGGCCACAGGCGCTGGAAAAGATTTCTTGGAGTAGGCTTTAGGAGGGTCTTATGAGGCTGGCCTTTATTTTAGAAGCCCTTTCCTCCTAGGCTTGACAGCGTGGGGGGAGGGGCAGGAGGTTCTTGGAGAGAGAAAGGCAGCAATTTGCCTCCCGGTGTTTGGGTCAGGTTTCCTTGAAGGACATCTGAAATCTGACAGGTGTTAGGACATTTATTTCAGAGGCTGAAGAAGAGTCCTGGCAGGGAAAGGCAACCTTGAGAAGGTGTACCCTTTGGCCAGCCCTGGGAGAGGCGGGGTATTTTCTGATGCGCTGTGTTAAAACATGAGGTTTGCCATGGCAATAGACACAGAAAGTCCAAAGCCACCTTGGGTATACCTTGTACTGGTCTGGTCCCTGGTCACCCTGCATACAGAGAGCTGAAAGACTAAGGCTGTCCACACTTGGTCTCCGCCCTCACTCAAATCTGAATAGAGTTGGGTTATTAGGGTTGATGGGCGTTGATGATTCTGAAAAATGGGAAGACATAATTGTTTAACCCTTCTGTGTGGTTGCCCTCTGCTCCAGCATGCATGCATTTAAAGCCCCATTTCATCTCTCAGCAAAAATGCGAAGGGTAAAGCAAAATGTGGACCTGGAGAAACCAAGTGGCCTGTCTCCTCACCTAGTTGACTGCCTGACTTGCTCCAGAATCAGAGCCCTTGCCCAGGTAGCCTTTTCTTAATCAATAATTCCCTGAGGAGGAGTTCCTGCCTGTTAAAGAGCCCAAGCATATGTTTGTGAAAGCCACTGCCCTTTCTGGCCAGTCACTGGGAAGAGCCATGTGGCTTCAGCCCATTGAGACTTTAGCTGGGGAGTGGGAGAGGTGGGTGGCCTTGAATGTTACACCACATGGTTGGAGCTCTGGGTTTTCCTTTGTTTCAGAGTATAGAGAGAGGGGCCCCTCCTTCTTTCCCTGCACCAATGCATGGAGACCTTTTCCTATCATAGAGGACTTGGGAAGGGCCATGTCTCCCCTTTAATGATTGCCTCTGGTGGGGTAGGGACAGAGTGTGAAATGGGCAACTCCCTTATCCCTTCTTGGAAGGCTGGAAGGTAGTTGGAAGTCCCCATTGTGCCTGCAGAATCTTTTTATGTCACCAGTTTGGTCAATGCTGGAGGTGCCCTAAGGAACCTTCTATCCACTTGACTGCTCATATTGGTAGGTTTATTATGGAGATGGGGGAGTTGACTGATTGATAGCCCCAGTTGAACAGGGATTGAGAGAGGTGTGGTTTGAGTTGTAATTGAGGTCTTGGCCTCTTGTCACTGTTCATAATCCAGGCTTGTTTTGGTAAACAATAGGCCACTGGCCTCCATGTCCTGTCCAGATGCACTGCATTCTGCTCCTGGAATCCCCCCTGCAGTTTTAACCTGATAGGTCATTTAAAAAAACACACAATAAAACAAAAAAACACATTGTGTTCTTAACTGCAGCCATAGACAGTGTTAATAACTTTGACTTTCCCACATTTCTCTCTAGAAGCATGCCATTGAGTAAGGTGCAAAGTGATTTTACATGTTTAATTTTTTGGAACGTTTAGAAATGATAGACGTTAATAGAACTGTGTCTGTCAATTTCTTATTGGTAAAAGATTTCTCATGAGTGTCCTGAAATTAAGCACATTGTATATTTACAAATAGTGCTCACTGAGATGATGTAATGCAGTGGGCTCTTTGGGGTGTCTCTTCAACCTTGTCACAAGCAGGATTTTTGCTTTGCTCTGATATTCTTACATTGACATGGGATCATAGAATGGTATAGGTAGTCAAATATGCTGTCTTCCTTAGAGAAGAATGGTGAATGCTCGTAGAACTGAGCTGAATAGTGTAGTCCTCATTTTCTAGCGGAGGACAGTACAGAGAACTGAAGGTCACACAGCTAGGTAGTGGCAGATCAGAACTTATAACAGAACCAGATTTACTGATTCCCAATTCCCTACTGTATCTTTACTATGATACATCATCTGATCAGGATGAGAAAAAATTAAACATTCATAAGGAGTCAGAAATCTGTCAATGAATAACATTAATAGTTTACATTTTGGTGGCTTGTTATGTTCCAGCCTGCCCCGAGTGCTTTATGTGAATGGCCTCGCTTAATCCTAACCTCAACCCAGAAAATAGGTTGTATTGTCACCTTCTGTTCACTGAACAAACTGAGGCTTAGAAGCCCGTCCAAGGTCATGCCACTAACCTATAGCAGCTCGATTTCATTCCTTTATTCACCAATTATTAGGTGCCTACTGTATGTTTTGGGGCCTGGTGATAACAGCAGTGAAGACAAAATCCCCACCCACATGGAGTTTATATTTTAGCACAGAACTTGAAGACGAAGGGCTTGTGTTCTGATTTGGTTCTGCGACCCCGCCTCCCTACTAGCTGGAAGACCTTGGTCAGAATTATTATAGGTTTCAGCTTTTTATGTGTTATATGGGACTCATGGTGCTACCAGCCTTACTTCTATTGTAGATGTCAAGATCAAAAAGAAGATGGCTATAGCAGCAAAGCAGTTTGGCTTGGTGGTTGAGTGCAGGTTTTAGAGTCAAAGGGATACCGGACTACATATTGGTTATGCCACTCGCTGGCTTTGCACCTCAGGCAAGTTAGCATGACTCGTCTGAGCTTCAGTTTCCTAATTTGGAAAACAGGCAAAATAATATGCATTTCTTAAGGTAGTTGTGGGGAGTCGATGAGATGATATATACTGATCAGGCGGCACATGTGTGGCACTTAGGAGGGCTCAATATTGGTATGTGACCCCTCTGTCAATGAGCCTTGCACCTTGTTGAACTGGTCTGACTATTGAGGCTGCATTGCACATTCATTTCCCAAACCAGCTATAAAATGATAGCAAACACAAGAATGAAGCTTGAGTTCTAGGCTAAATCCATCCAGTAGTAACAAAAGGTATGTTGGAGCAGTTATTTAAACCTCTGAACATCAGTTCCCCTTTCTGTAAAATGAACAGGTCAACGGTCTAATTGTTGGCCACTGCTGTGTGTGTCTCTGACCAGAGTCCTGGGTCCTGCTTTTCAGTCAGAATAGCCTGAATCAAGTCATCCTTTATGGAACCCTCTCTATCCCTGGGTTTTGCCTCCTGTTAAACCACCTGCTGACATGTGCCCTAAAGGACTTCTGAGGCTGCAGTCCTAACCCTACCCCAGTGTGGTTTTATGAGGGGCGTGCCTCCTTAGTCAGCCTGCCTTGTATCGCCTTCTTAAAAACCATCATTGTTTCTGGTTTGTGGGTGTTCAGATTCCTTTGAAAGTTCATGCCTCTCAGTGTCTGACTCGAAAGCAATAATATTCTTACTTAGTCTTTTTACATCGTTTGTTATTTATCAAGCACTTTTATCTACAGTAATGGAAATTCTTGACAACCCTGGATAGATTCATGGTTATAACCTGGAGTTTTTGCCTATAATTGGCCTTTGCTGATATCATAACAGCCAAAGGTTAGGTGAGGTGCAGGGCTGGTTACCAGAGATGACCGTCTAGGTGACATTTGGAAAAATTCAGATGACTGCATACGCTCCATCTATTATTGTCTTTTCCTTATGCAAGACCCTCTTTCTTTTGCTCTCTCTATACCTTGAGTTTCTCCCAGAAAGCTTGAGATTGACAGTTAATGCAAATATTCCAGGAGGAGTCACTTCAAACAGAGTGGCACTGTACTGAGCGGTCAAATTCGCTTTCTTGGGAACATTTAGGGGTCTTGTCTTTTTTTTTTTTTTTTTAAATGTCTTAGGAGAATAGTGTGTTTGCATGACAGAACTGAGAAGTGAAATTTTGTAATTTCCATCTGGAGCATTTTGATAGAAAAAGCGCAGGCCCTTGCCTGGAACAGTTTAACCCTTTCCAGACCTGTTGAAGGCAGGAGATGAAATTTAAAACTAGTCATATGATGTGTGCCCTGGCACTTGGGAATGCTGATTGCTGATATTTAAACACGTTCCTTCCCCAGGGAGGTCTGAGCAGTTCTCCACTCATGCCAACAAAGGTCTTTTATGAAGCGTCTTTAGTCCCAGCCCCTACTCCCCAAGGGAGCTTTAAATATAATCAGTTTGTGAAAAGCTGCAGTAAAACATCTCCTTGGAATCCCCAAGCAGTTGCTATCATCTTCCTGCAAGATGATTGAGGGCTTTTCTTCCCTTGCTCAGGGAAAACAGTGACTCTGCAGTAAGGTGAACTCCTGGAAAAAAAAATGAAGCTCTTAGAAAAATTTCAAGTGCTCTGTTTCTCCAAGTTGAAGGACTCTGGGGGAAGGTGGTGGCCTGGGAGCCAGGGAATGCTGTGTGCTATTGCAAAGTCTTAATTGTTAGAAACAGTGTTCTTGAGGAATCCTTAGCTTTTCCAGTGTCAGGCATTCGTTTGGAGAATGGAAACAAATTTCCTTTGGAGAGGCTCATATGGTTGGCAGTGAGAGCTACATCCATCTTGCAGCGCACAGGTTGAGAGCTTAGACAAGCCCCGATCGTTTCTCCACTATGAATTTACAGAGTCGGGGCTAGCCCTGATATGCAGAGTCCACCCCTCTTAAAATCAGCAGGTGCTAGACCCTGGCTCATAAACTCCCATGTTCAGGGCTTTCCATGGCCGCTGTGGAATTCTCCGTCCAGAAAAGAGATTTTCTTCAGGGGAAGAAGAAAGGTTTACCTTACACTGTAGACCTCTGACAGCCACATTAGGAAAATATTATGTCATGTTGCAGGGGAAAAAGCAGTTGATAATGTAGCTTTCCATGGTTAATAAAATTCAAGGGAACAGTTTAACTTGTTATGGTGGCAGC